TCTCTCTCTCCCCCCCTCTCTCTCTCCTTTCTCAGACTCTACATATGACTTAATATTGCATTTCTCTCTCTCAGAGTCTCTGGGTAGAGCGCAGCACTCTCACGCTGTCTCACAGTCTCCCGGGAATCTCCTGCTGGTTTGAAGTACAGAAGAGAGAGCTGGTAATGTATCTCTTATTATTACCTAGTATTTATAGAGCGCCAACAGTGTGCGCAGCGCTGTATAATATAAGGAAGACATTACAATCACAATACAATACAAGATGGTAAGGAGGGCCCGGCCCCTGAGGGCTTACATTCTAAAAGGGGAGGGGCCAGCGATACATGAGGAGGGAGCTGTGTGGGGATGAATTGTTTGAGAACGTGATGGTTCAGTGGTCAATGATTCTTGTAAGAAAGTAACATGTGGACTTTTATAGTCAGGAGTCTGTGGAAAGATGGCGTCTCTCCCCGTTTGTGTTTCCGGGTAATTGGGAGGATACAGACTTCTTCATGTGGACTTGTTACTTTTAAAATCTCATATTTGACAACTAAATGAACGTAAATAAACTTTCCTCGGTTATTTTTAGCGCTGCCTCTTTCTATAGAAGTAGACAGACTAAGCGGCGGTGTCTGTTGTGGAACTTTCTCTGTGTTAGGTGACAGGTCCTCTTTCTATAGAAGTAGACAGACTAAGCGGCGGTGTCTGTTGTGGAACTTTCTCTGTGTTAGGTGACAGGTCCTCTTTCTATAGAAGTAGACAGACTAAGCGGCGGTGTCTGTTGTGGAACTTTCTCTGTGTTAGGTGACAGGTCCTCTTTCTATAGAACTAGACAGGCTAAGCGGCGGTGTCTGTTGTGGAGCTTTCTCTGTGTTGGGTGACAGGTCCTCTTTCAGCGGTATCTCAACAAACGCGGATCTCTCACTATGCAAGTCGGCACGAACGCAGCGCCGGCGCGTCACATGACACAGCAACAGAAAAATAAATATAAAAATGTCCTTTTTGGATCTCTCACGTCTCTGCCAGGTGGAGGTCAGCCCGCTGGAGAACGCCATTCAGGTTCTGGCCAACAAGACGCAGGAGCTGCGGGCGCTGATCACTCAGTATCAGCACCACAATCTCCATGGCAACATCAACCTTCTCAGCATGTGTCTGAACGGCGTCATCGATGCCGCGGTGAATGGAGGAATCACCCGATACCAGGAGGTGAGAGGAGGATGGAGTTCATCTATCAAATTCAAATCAGCTTATAAGGAAAGAAATGGAGGAATAGGTAAGTCCAGGGACATTATTAGGGGTAAGGGATATCTATCTACGTTGTATCTGTATCCATCTGTCTATCGTCTATCTCTCTCCCTTACAGGCATTCTTTGATAAGGAATACATCACCCAACATCCGGAAGATGCGGATAAGATCGGCCAGCTGAAGGAACTCATGCAGGAGCAGGTAGGTCCAGGGCCGGTGGTGCCACTAGGCAAACTAGGGCGCACTGCTGCCTAGGGTGCACTCCTACCTAGGGCGCAGCCTTGACCATTCACTCCCCACGGCGCCAACCGTCTATTTCAAATTGCAAAAGCCAATAGCAGGCTGGCTATTGCATCCGCCCACTTGCACCTCCCCGTCTATTTCAAAAGCCAATAGCAGGCTGGCTTTTGTACCCGCCCACTGAGCAGAGGAGCCGAACTGAGAGACAACTTTCCTTCTCAAGTCCGCTCCTCTGCTCAGTGGGCGGGGTTTCAGTAGCCAGTCTGCTATTGGTTATTTCAAATTAATATAGCCAATAGCAGTCTAGCTATTTCTCCCGGCTGCTTACATCCATCTAACGCCTGTGGAAGCTAGCTGGCAGGAGAATGGAGCCGTGCGGGGGGGCGGTGGTGTACTGGGGGTTGCGCCCAGGCCTGGAGTTTCCACAGGGCCTCGGGGCGGCAGTTAACCCCGCCGCCCTGCCATCTGGTTGCCAGTCTCCATTGATGGGAAGGGGAGGGGTGGGGGGGGGAGCATCACAGGACCTGGCCTTGGGGCGGCAGGGAGAGTAAATCCGGCCCTGGTTGCGCTGCGGGAGGGGGGCTGGGGGTGCAGGTAGCTGGTCTAGCACCGGCCCTGGGTAGGTCTACAATGAGGGTGATGTCATGCCAAACACTTTGCTGCTTGCAGAGAATGTTTCTATGTATCTGAATGTGTTTCATTGTATCAGTTGTCAGTCTTTTTCTGTATAATAATAATAATATGCGTCTCCGATGCCGTGTTCCAGGTACACGTGTTGGGGGTGGGGCTGGCGGTACACGAGCGTTGCGTACACCCCGAGATGCGGCCGCTGCACAAGAAGCTGGTAGACCAGTTCCAGGTCATGCGCTCCAGTCTGTACCAGGTAACAAAAACCTCCGAATGATGACATTGTCTATGAAACTTTCCCGGTTTAACCTCTTCAGCTCTCCGACCCCCCTATGGAGCAGATTTATACGTTTCTCCTCCAGGCCGGCACGTTGAGTGATGAGACAGACAAAGCAGCTTTATTTAGGACATTGTCTCGCAAAAAAATATTTTCTGTGTAAAGATGGAATTAAAACAATCTGAAAAATGATAGCGGAAGGGAGGAGGGGAGGATGGGGGGGGGGTGATTTTCACTCACCTCATAGTTCTAGCCGACCTGTGACGATGAGACTGTCACAGGTCGGCTCAGGAGATCGGGAACACATACCGTCGCCCGCTCACTTCTCGATCTATCCCTGCAGAGAGTGTTGACTGTCACTCACGGCTCCCTGCAGGGATTCCCCCGCTCCGATCCTCCAGCGCTGACTGGCGGAACGGACGGGGGAGGGGGCGGGCACAGCTGGCTCTGCCTCTAGATAGGCGGAGCCAGCTGTCACTCACGCAGCTGGGCGGATCCAGACAGTAATGTCGGGATGCGTCCCGGCTGCGGCGTCTCAGTATATTGCGAGCTGTAGCTCCCTATATACTGAGCCTTGGGTGACGGGAGGACGCTAGTTTGTGTCCTCCCGTTACCCTAAGGAGAACTATGGGGAAAAGACCTGACCTCGTAGTTCTCCTTTCACTAAGACTGAATGGGGTTCACCGAGGGGTTAAATAGGAATACATTTCATTCATTGTATGACATGTGCAGATGGGAGCTCCTCCCTTTCCTCCGGCATCATATCATCATAGTAAATCCAATGAAACCACCAACTGCAGCACCGAACCCGACCCTCCTCCCTACGAATAAGCCCCGCCCTTAATGTGCCGTCTGATAGACAATACATTGTAACACATGGCGGCTTCTCTTGTGCTTCCCCCAGGAGTTCCCCACACTGGAGAAGCTGAATCCGTCGTGTGCGCCGCTGCCTCGCGGAAACATCCTGTTATCACACGGAGCGCTAAACAACGACAGCCTGAGACTCCTCCACAGACACAGGTGCGTCTTCCGATCCGACAGCATTCGCAGCGCCACCGCCGCAGTGTGTCACCTTATATGTTGTTGTTATCTGCAGCCCTCTAGTGGTCCTTGGCTCCGTGCGACATTCATCCTCCTCGCTCTCATCTCACGCCTCCAGCGACACCGGGACCACTCCCACCGCTGTGGACAGCGAGAACGAGGATCCCTACTCTATGCAGGTGACTGACGACGCACATTTCATGTTTTCATAGTAAACCTCCGTGGGTTCCATTGTTGTCTGGTGCTGGCGTTAGACCCGCTGTCACTCTTCCATGCTGTAATCTTCTGTCATCCTTCCATGCCGTCATCCTTCCATGCAGTCACCCTTCCATCCCGTCATCTTCTGTCATCCTTCCATCCCCTCATCTTCTGTCATCCTTCCATGCTGTCCTCTTCTGTCATCCTTCCATCCCCTCATCTTCTGTCATCCTTCCATGCTGTCCTCTTCTGTCATCCTTCCATCCCCTCATCTTCTGTCATCCTTCCATGCTGTCCTCTTCTGTCATCCTTCCATCCCCTCATCTTCTGTCATCCTTCCATGCTGTCCTCTTCTGTCATCCTTCCATCCCCTCATCTTCTGTCATCCTTCCATGCTGTCCTCTTCTGTCATCCTTCCATCCCCTCATCTTCTGTCATCCTTCCATGCTGTCCTCTTCTGTCATCCTTCCATCCCCTCATCTTCTGTCATCCTTCCATGCTGTCCTCTTCTGTCATCCTTCCATCCCCTCATCTTCTGTCATCCTTCCATGCTGTCCTCTTCTGTCATCCTTCCATCCCCTCATCTTCTGTCATCCTTCCATGCTGTCCTCTTCTGTCATCCTTCCATCCCCTCATCTTCTGTCATCCTTCCATGCTGTCCTCTTCTGTCATCCTTCCATCCCCTCATCTTCTGTCATCCTTCCATGCTGTCCTCTTCTGTCATCCTTCCATCCCCTCATCTTCTGTCATCCTTCCATGCTGTCCTCTTCTGTCATCCTTCCATCCCCTCATCTTCTGTCATCCTTCCATGCTGTCCTCTTCTGTCATCCTTCCATCCCCTCATCTTCTGTCATCCTTCCATGCTGTCCTCTTCTGTCATCCTTCCATCCCCTCATCTTCTGTCATCCTTCCATGCTGTCCTCTTCTGTCATCCTTCCATCCCCTCATCTTCTGTCATCCTTCCATGCTGTCCTCTTCTGTCATCCTTCCATCCCCTCATCTTCTGTCATCCTTCCATGCTGTCCTCTTCTGTCATCCTTCCATCCCCTCATCTTCTGTCATCCTTCCATGCTGTCCTCTTCTGTCATCCTTCCATCCCCTCATCTTCTGTCATCCTTCCATGCTGTCCTCTTCTGTCATCCTTCCATCCCCTCATCTTCTGTCATCCTTCCATGCTGTCCTCTTCTGTCATCCTTCCATCCCCTCATCTTCTGTCATCCTTCCATGCTGTCCTCTTCTGTCATCCTTCCATCCCCTCATCTTCTGTCATCCTTCCATGCTGTCCTCTTCTGTCATCCTTCCATCCCCTCATCTTCTGTCATCCTTCCATGCTGTCCTCTTCTGTCATCCTTCCATCCCCTCATCTTCTGTCATCCTTCCATGCTGTCCTCTTCTGTCATCCTTCCATCCCCTCATCTTCTGTCATCCTTCCATGCTGTCCTCTTCTGTCATCCTTCCATCCCCTCATCTTCTGTCATCCTTCCATGCTGTCCTCTTCTGTCATCCTTCCATCCCCTCATCTTCTGTCATCCTTCCATGCTGTCCTCTTCTGTCATCCTTCCATCCCCTCATCTTCTGTCATCCTTCCATGCTGTCCTCTTCTGTCATCCTTCCATCCCCTCATCTTCTGTCATCCTTCCATGCTGTCCTCTTCTGTCATCCTTCCATCCCCTCATCTTCTGTCATCCTTCCATGCTGTCCTCTTCTGTCATCCTTCCATCCCCTCATCTTCTGTCATCCTTCCATGCTGTCCTCTTCTGTCATCCTTCCATGCTGTCTTCTTCTGTCATCCTTCCATGCTGTCCTCCTTATATTCTCTCTTGTTTGTCTTTCAGATGCTGCTTCCCCACTCCCTCCACGCCGGATCCATCACTAACGTTTCCGCGTTATCCTCATCCTACACAAGCCCCTCCTCCTCCAGCCTCAGCTCCACCCATTCAGCACCATCTCAACTTATCAACTCCGCCCCCTCCAGCACACGAGGTGAGTAGAAATGGGAAGCGCGGGAGGGTTCGGAGTCCAATAAAAGTTCCCCCCGAATCCAAAACTTTCTTCTGTGTGAGCGGAGGAGGGATCCAAACCAGCATGTCCGCAGTGGGTGGAGCCGCAGAGGGGTTGGGGTCACCGCAAGGCTTGCAGGGGCCGAGGACTTGCTGGAACGCTCCGGGTGGAAGGAACCTAAATGTAATCCTGTGTCAGAGAGACCTCCGGGCGGCCTTAAAGGAGAACTATGAGGGGGGGGGGGAAGTGATTTTCTCGTCCTCGTAGTTGGAGCCGACGTGTGAGGTCGGCTCAATAAATCGGGAGGTGGGAGAACACACACCGGCGCTCGCTCACTTCTCGATCATTTCCCTGCAGTGAGAGGTGACTGTCACTCACGGCTCCCTGTAGGGATTCCTCCCTCCCCGCTCCGATCGGACAGGGGAGGGGGCGGTCACAGCTTGCTCTGCCTCTAGATAGGCAGAGCCAGCTGTCACTCACGCAGCTGGGCGGATCCAGATGTAATTGTCGGGATCGGCTGCGGCGTCTCAGTATACCGTGAGCTGTAGCTCCCTATATACTGAGCCTAGGGTGACGGGAGGACGCTAGTTCGAGGAGAACTATGGGGGGAAAGCCCTGACCCCATACTTCTCCTTTAATGGATAATTGCTCTCACATAAATAAATGAGACACAAGATATCGCACACGTGAACCTATAAGTCAGGACCCATCACTGGGGGGCGCCCGGAACACAGCAACAAAGTAACGTCAGCTTCATCTCAGGTATTAAAGGGCCCGTACAACTATAATAGAAATGATGTGGAATTAGTTCCGACCACCCTGGAAATGTTCAGTTATTACATAACGTTCCCACGCGTCATGTGCAGCCAACGCCGGGCGGGCGCAGTCCTCTGACAGGAAGTCATGTACGCGGATTGTTACCTTCTGCTTCTTCAATGGGATTACTAACATTATGCGGCCCCCCCGGTGCTCACGGGTCATTAACTCTCCATATTTCCCCCTTTCAGGTTCTCCCTCCCTCCCCGATAAGTACAGACATTCGCGAGATTTGGTGATGCTGCTTCCGGCACCTCGGGACCGGCCCAGTAGCGCCATGTATCAAACCGGCGCAGACAACGCACAGGTATTGAATAGTAACAGTGAATAAGACTTGTTTATGGGAGAATGTCGGCTGCAATGACGGATCCAACCTCTTATGCTTTGACCCTTTCACGTTTCTGTCTCCTGGTGGTGTCCCAGCGCTGCGTCTACCCCCGGGCTCTGTTCCAGCAAGTCCTCGGCCCATGCAAGCCTTGCAGCGACCCCAACCTCTCTGTGGCAGAGAAAGGTGACCCCCCTCTATACACTGCATGCCGTATATATTCATTGACAGTCAGACCTGCTGCCCCCTCAGGATCCTCATAGACACCGAATTGTCAATCGGTTTTCAGTGTGTGTGCGTGGACAAATGACTGAGGTCAGGATGAGAGCTGATTGGTTTATTTCATCTGTGAATGGCGCGGATTCTTATAGTTCATATTATCCTTTGCTGATTCTGGATTTATACCTTAAAGGAGAACTATGAGGTCAGTGTTTTCCCCCATAGTTCTCCTTAGGGTAACGGGAGGACACAAACTAGCGTCCTCCCGTCATCCCCCCCCCCCCCCTCATAGTTCTTCTTTAAAACCTAATACTATGTAACATCAATCTCATCCCTAAAACACAAACCATGTATCAGCCTAACTCTAACCTGAGCCTATAACCTAACCCCTAACTCAATCCCTAAGTCACAACCTAACTCTAACCTTCAGCCTAACCCTTAGCTCCAACCCTAACCTAACCCCTAACTCTAACCTACAACCTAACCCTTAGCTCCAACCCTAACCTAACCCCTAACTCTAACCTACAACCTAACCTGGAACCTAACCCCTAACTGTAACCCTAAGTCACAACCCAACTCTAACCCTAACATTTAACCTAACCCCTAACTCTAGCCTATAACCTAATCCTTAACTCTAACCCTAGCCTATAACCTAACCCCTAACTCTAACCCTTAGCATTAACCCTAACATTTAACCTAACCCCTAACTCTAGCCTATAACCTAATCCTTAACTCTAACCCTAACCTATAACCTAACCCCTAACTCTAGCCTATAACCTAATCCTTAACTCTAACCCTAACATTTAACCTAACCCCTAACTCTAGCCTATAACCTAATCCTTAACTCTAACCCTAGCCTATAACCTAACCCCTAACTCTAGCCTATAACCTAACCCCTAACTCTAAACCTAGCCTATAACCTAACCCCTAACTCTAAACCTAGCCTATAACCTAACCCCTAACTCTAACCCTAGCCTATAACCTAACCCCTAACTCTAACCCTTAGCATTAACCCTAACATTTAACCTAACCCCTAACTCTAGCCTATAACCTAATCCTTAACTCTAACCCTAGCCTATAACCTAACCCCTAACTCTAGCCTATAACCTAATCCTTAACTCTAACCCTAACATTTAACCTAACCCCTAACTCTAGCCTATAACCTAATCCTTAACTCTAACCCTAGCCTATAACCTAACCCCTAACTCTAGCCTATACCCTAATCCTTAACTCTAACCCTAACATTTAACCTAACCCCTAACTCTAGCCTATAACCTAATCCTTAACTCTAACCCTAGCCTATAACCTAACCCCTAACTCTAGCCTATAACCTAACCCCTAACTCTAAACCTAGCCTATAACCTAACCCCTAACTCTAACCCTAGCCTATAACCTAACCCCTAACTCTAACCCTAGCCTATAACCTAACCCCTAACTCTAACCCTAGCCTATAACCTAACCCTAACCCTAACCTGGAACCTAACATTTAACCTAACCCCTAAGTCTAAGTCAAAACCTAATTCTAACCTTCAAACTAGCCCTTACCTCTAACCCTAATATTTATCTTGACCCCTAACTATTCACCTAACCCTTACCTCTAACCCTAACCTTTAGTCTACTCTAAAATATAAGCCTAACTACTGAAGCTCCTGTCCTATGTTGATGGTGCGGCAGTGCTGGATGGTTGGCGTGTTCTTGGTGATGTTGTTTGTGTCTGTCTTTGTTCATATGGTTGATGAATGAGAGATAGTCACCCCATGTCTGCGGGTCCCCCCACTATACAAATAGACTGACTCTATAACATCAACAAGCAATTAGCAGTAGTCCATAGCAACTAAAACTATAGCAATTGTGTTTCAGCTTCTAGACTGATATCTGGCCTTCTGTGGGTTGCTGTCTGACACAGAGATACACTTGTAAAGCAGAGAACTCCTTTAAGCTCCTCCCAGTATCTGTGTCTGTATATGTTCTGATTGCATTCCTCTTCTTGCCGTTTCATTATTCCTGATCTTGGCTGTCCGGGGTTCTGGCTGTGCCGCTGCCGCCCTCTCCTGGTCACTGTCATGTATTGTCCTGCGTCAGTCCTGGCCGCACCAAGCAGTTGGAGTTTGGACAGTGGGACCAGAGAATCCCTTCCTTTCCTGACAACTCATGTGGGGAGCGTCCTCACTCCCACCGGGACCCCCCGAGGCCTGACCCACGGTATGTGCTGTGTGATGGAGTGGAGGGATGCAATGATGGCGGGTGTATGAAAAAAATTAATATACTGATTCCTTCCTCTTATCTCTGCCCCTATCTCACCATCACCTTCCTCTTATCTCTGCCCCTATCTGACCATCACCTTCCTCTTATCTCTGCCCCTATCTCACCATCACCTTCCTCTTATCTCTGCCCCTATCTGACCATCACCTTCCTCTTATCTTTGCATCCCTCCCTGTCTCCATTCTCCTTCTTTCTGAACCTCTATTCTCTCTCTCCCTCCCCCTCTCCCTTCCTCTATTCTCTCTCTCTCCCTCCCCCGCTCCCCTCTCCCTTCCTCTATTCTCTCTCTCCCTCCCCCTCTCCCTTCCTCTATTCTCTCTCTCTCCCTCTATTCTCTCCCTCTATTTTCTCTCTCTCTCCCTCTATTCTCCCTCCCCCGCTCCCCTCTCCCTTCCTCTATTTTCTCTCTCTCTCCCACTATTCAATCTCTCTCTTCTTCTATTCTCCCTCCCCCTCTCTCTCTCTCTCTCTCCCTCTGAAGGCCATTACTCTCTGCACTTTGATGCGTTTCATCCCTCTCTTGGGGACGGAGCTCCTGCATTACCCACCAGATCCCTGCGCAAGGTAACGTCTGACGCTCTCTCTCTCCGCTTTGCTGGAATTGATACATTTGCAGACACAGTGACACATCGTGACCCGTTTCCTGACAATGTATCTGATCCTCCACATTGCAGAGAGCAGCTTATACTCTTTGCCCGGATATATTGCCTCCACACCGCCACGCACAGTCTGTCGTATATATTCAGGGCCGGATTTACTTTCTTAAGGACAGACCTGCAGGCTGCATACAAGTGATCTCGGAGACATCGCCGGGATCACTTGTACAAACAAGCGGCGACTTCCCCGCTGTACATTTAGCTCTGCTTGCCCAAAGCCGGGCTAAGTGTAGAAAACAACTACCCGCCCGGCCCCCGGAACTGCATGTCCTGGGTGTCGGGAGATAGGAATTCCTCACCCCTGCTGCCCCTCTACTCCCTGCTGCCCCTCAACTCCCTGCTGCCCCTCTACTCCCTGCCGCCCCTCTACTCCTTGCTACCCCGAGGCCGGGCCCTGGTTGGCCTTGTGGGAAATCCGTCCCTGTATATATTACAAATATTTGTTCTCTGCAAATGGGGTCCAGAAATGAATGTTATTAGTGTTCAGTATTTCCTCTCCAGGTGAAATGTAATTCATTCATCACATGAGAGTGAATTGGGAATATACTACCCGATGGCCACTAGATGGCGCCAAGGATCATTGCAAACAAATAGTTACTTTCTATGCTCCTCAGCGCCATCTAGTGGCCATAATGTGGTATTTACCTGATATTACATTCCACCTGGAAAGAAATAATAATACACTCTGGGGTTTTAGGGAGGAAAGGTCCGGGATCACAAGTGGTGAGCAGGAAATAATATATCTATTATAAAGATCACTTTAATTTACAACAGAGGGGCCTGAATAAGCTCTGTGTACTGATGGGCACTGTGCCCCCTCCAGGGGTTGCTGTGGTGTATGTTGCATATGTATGTTCCTAGAAAAAGGATGGGGGGCGGTGTATGGGTAGTCTAATCATGTGTTCATCTCTCCACAGAGCCCTCTGCACACCATTCCCGCCTCGCCCACCAGCCCGCAGTCCTGCTTGGATGGCAGCAACTCACCCCTCTCGGGCAGCGCCAGCAGCGGCGTCTCCTCGCTGAGTGAAGGAAACTTCTCCGTCTGTCCCGATGCTGCGACCAGCGCAGATTCCCGGCCGGAGGAAGAGCAGAGCGCATGTTTCCAGCACTACCCTCCCGTCCGGTACAGCCTCTCCGACCCCAACGGGCTGGAGACACCCAAGACCCAACCGTGCCGGAGCCACTCCGCCCCCACCGGGGTGACGCCTCCGCGCTCGCCCAGCGGGGATCAGGAGGAGGGAAACCTGGAGCAGGAGCGGCTGCGGAGGATCCGAAGGAACTGCCACATGGGCAAAGAACCGCCGGCACGGGTCGGGTGGGAGCACAACATGGGAAAACCATAAGCCGGGACTGAACCGGAGGAGACTGGGGGCAACTGGAGGAGGAGGGGCAGTCTGTGTATAAAGAGCAAGGCAAGACTAGTGTGTCCTGATATCTGTGTATTAGGAGAGGAGAGGTCGGGGGGTCCTGTGTATTAGGAGAGGTCGGGGGGCCCCTGTGTATTAGGAGAGGTCGGGGGGCCCCTGTGTATTAGGAGAGGTCGGGGGGCCCCTGTGTATTAGGAGAGGTCGGGGGGCCCCTGTGTATTAGGAGAGGTCGGGGGGCCCCTGTGTATTAGGAGAGGTCGGGGGGCCCCTGTGTATTAGGAGAGGTCGGGGGGCCCCTGTGTATTAGGAGAGGTCGGGGGGCCCCTGTGTATTAGGAGAGGTCGGGGGGCCCCTGTGTATTAGGAGAGGTCGGGGGGCCCCTGTGTATTAGGAGAGGTCGGGGGGCCCCTGTGTATTAGGAGAGGTCGGGGGGCCCCTGTGTATTAGGAGAGGTCGGGGGGCCCCTGTGTATTAGGAGAGGTCGGGGGGCCCCTGTGTATTAGGAGAGGTCGGGGGGCCCCTGTGTATTAGGAGAGGTCGGGGGGCCCCTGTGTATTAGGAGAGGTCGGGGGGCCCCTGTGTATTAGGAGAGGTCGGGGGGCCCCTGTGTATTAGGAGAGGTCGGGGGGCCCCTGTGTATTAGGAGAGGTCGGGGGGCCCCTGTGTATTAGGAGAGGTCGGGGGGCCCCTGTGTATTAGGAGAGGTCGGGGGGCCCCTGTGTATTAGGAGAGGTCGGGGGGCCCCTGTGTATTAGGAGAGGTCGGGGGGCCCCTGTGTATTAGGAGAGGTCGGGGGGCCCCTGTGTATTAGGAGAGGTCGGGGGGCCCCTGTGTATTAGGAGAGGTCGGGGGGCCCCTGTGTATTAGGAGAGGTCGGGGGGCCCCTGTGTATTAGGAGAGGTCGGGGGGCCCCTGTGTATTAGGAGAGGTCGGGGGGCCCCTGTGTATTAGGAGAGGTCGGGGGGCCCCTGTGTATTAGGAGAGGTCGGGGGGCCCCTGTGTATTAGGAGAGGTCGGGGGGCCCCTGTGTATTAGGAGAGGTCGGGGGGCCCCTGTGTATTAGGAGAGGTCGGGGGGCCCCTGTGTATTAGGAGAGGTCGGGGGGCCCCTGTGTATTAGGAGAGGTCGGGGGGCCCCTGTGTATTAGGAGAGGTCGGGGGGCCCCTGTGTATTAGGAGAGGTCGGGGGGCCCCTGTGTATTAGGAGAGGTCGGGGGGCCCCTGTGTATTAGGAGAGGTCGGGGGGCCCCTGTGTATTAGGAGAGGTCGGGGGGCCCCTGTGTATTAGGAGAGGTCGGGGGGCCCCTGTGTATTAGGAGAGGTCGGGGGGCCCCTGTGTATTAGGAGAGGTCGGGGGGCCCCTGTGTATTAGGAGAGGTCGGGGGGCCCCTGTGTATTAGGAGAGGTCGGGGGGCCCCTGTGTATTAGGAGAGGTCGGGGGATCCTGTGTATTAGGAGAGGTCGGGGGGTCCTGTGTATTAGGGGTATGCGGCAGTGACTCGGTCTCTTTGCTCTTATATATACAGATCTATATCCCAATCCTGATGGCGTCTTTCGTGGCTCCGCCTCCTCCTCCTCCCCCCGCACTCTGTGATTCTCAGCTTGTCTTCTTGCTCCCGCCCCCCGACATTTGGGAACATTGTTACCCGTCCCGCCCTGTCACCGCTGGGTGTCACCTCTTGATGTCTCCGAGGGTAGCGAGGAGTTGTGAGCCCCCATTGGGGGGGGGGGGGGGGGGCCCTCGTTCCGTGTGTTCATATACCCTCCAGCGGTGCCGTGTTGTGTCCCCGATGGTCAGCTTTGCGCAGGGTGCGTGTTTGTATATATACGGTGTCCGCATGTTCCTCGCACACGCCGTGCCGTCCAGTTTCTGTGTAAATAAGATTCACCGTTTCTGTTGTGATTCTTTTTTTTTTTCCTCCTTCAGATGGTTGTTATATGAAAATAAAGTTTTACCACCCCGGACATTACCATGCCGACATCTGCTTTAATAACTCCGCCCCCCTCCACCCAAGCACCTATCATGACCTGTATGGTTCTATTGTCTCATTGAGTCCAGACTCCTCCCCCATAGGAGTCATGGCTTCCGTACACTGGGCTGATGGTGGCCGACAAGCCTGAAACACCTGTTTGGAATAAATGGGCTTTATCTGCACTATACGGCATAAAATGATTTGCATAGCTCCACCCACTGTCATGAATTACGGAATGATTGGTTGGAGGGCTTTTTGGTTCCTTTATTCCCTTCTCACCATCGCCTGTCCGTTTGTTGTGCCAATCTGAAGGCCGCATGGAGTTTGGAGGTCTGTAGCTATCGACTCTGCAGACAGTTGGCGACTTCTGCGCGCTTCAGCGTGCGTTGACCCCGCTCTGTCATGTGACGCGGCCGACCACTTCCTGGCTGAGTTGCAGTTGTTCCCGGTTGCTTCCACTTTGTTTATAATCCCAGTAACAGGCGACCGCGGCGGAATATTTAGCAGCCAGGAAATGTCACGGAGCACATGAGTCACATGATTGGGAGGGGGAGGGGCCCGATACTTCTGGTAACATAGTGTATAAGCTCAGCTCACAGAGACACCAGGATAAGGATTCTTATTTCTTGCCACGAAGTGACAGTTATTGTTATTTTAGAACTTGAGAATCACTTTGCTAGAATAAGGATCTTTCTTGTGGAGTTGAAGCTTTGTGAATGGAGTCGGTCTCTTTAAATGTTGACATTTGACCCTTTCTTGGCTGAATCCCATTGACATTTTAGGTGAGTGGAGCTCCGTCCCGATTCCAAACGTGGATTCCATCTCTGTACCGGTGCCCAATGGTTGAGGTCCAATCCTCCTCATTCACCATAATGCCGGGGATGGGCCCTCCCCCCATTACCATCACATTGAATTAGGGACAATCTCTGTATCTAAGGTGTAGAAACCACCGGCTACAAGTTCAGTCTCTTCCCCGATGGTGGTAATTACTCCAGAACCAGCCTTGTGACCTCCTGACCCAACGTTCAGGACACCACAAGAAACTTTGCGACCATTTTGGGGGCTACAAGTGAACTCCACGAAGTTCAAGGCCTTCAACATGTTCCTCGCAACCCTTGCGGAACTTTCCCTACAACAAATGTATTAATACTAGGGATGCACCGATACCACTTTTTTAAGACCGAGTACGAGGACCGATACTTTTGATCAAGTACTCGCCGATACCAATTACCGATACTTTTTCTTAAAGGGACAGGTCACATTTTTTCTAAAGCAATACAAACTAATGCTTTAAGGTCACTTTCTTCATATTATGATTCAGGAGATGACGATGGAGCGTGACGCCGGCTTCCCGGCCAATCGGAATGCTTCCGGATTTGCTAGCTTCCTGACCGATCGGGAAGCGCGTCATTGCACGCTACCCGGCTTCCTGATTGGCCGTGAAGTCGGCTCCATGCTCTCTCATCACAAGTGACGAGAGAGCATGGAGGCGTTTCCTGGCCAATCAGGAGACCGGGCAGCGTGTAATGACGCGCTGCCCGGCTTCCTGTTACAGGAAGTACTCGTGCTAGGTATCGGAGCATTTGGGCGAGTACTCACCCAAATACTTGGTATCGGCACCGATACTAGTATCGGCGCATCCCTAATTAATACCAATAGAAATTCAACAAACTCGCCTGCCTAGGGCATCGGGGGTTGAGCCGGGGGGTAGGCAGCAGAGGTGCTCGATGAATCACTGCCATTTAGAACACCAGAAGGTGAATGTTCGGTGAATGTCAGATTATTTGCTCTACAAATATAACCCTTAAAGTAATCTTGTCACAGCCCATTCTCTCCAGATCTGGGATGGGATTAAGTACTCAGGTGACCATCAGTTGCCCCAATCACAAATTGGGGTAGCCAAATGTCAGCCATCCACCTGCGGTCATTTCTGGATCCCTCTCTCGTATACAGACGTGGACACATTTGTTGGTTCTCTTCCACCATTCAGGGTACGTTCACACCAGATGCAGTGCGTTCCGGTCCTGGCTGACCGGAACGCACTGCATCGTATTGCGGCCGGCTCACTTTTTTTGTGGGGCAGGGGGGCCATTGAAGTGAATGGCACCGTAGCCACGCCCTCAGGCCGCAATGCGATCTCCCGCACGGCGTATTGTGCTTGCAGCATTTTGATCGCACCACAGGCACAATGTGGCTTGCGATCCTGTGCGGCACATCGCATTGCGGCCGAAGGGCGTGGCTACGGTGCCATTCACTTCAATGGC